TTTCAATCTTCCTCTAGTTGAGTTCTGATTATCAAGCCATTGAGTCTATGTCAAATGGGTACTGTCTGCAAGTCTGGGTGTTCTTGTGCATCTCCCCTCACTTCATATCAGCTGGAGGCTTCACTCTCAGCTCTAGCCCTCTGTGGCTATGTCCTTGTCAATGGGCTCAAGTGTCCTCAGGTCTCACCACACTTTCTGTTCTGGAACGCCAATAATTCTTAAGTTATTCCTCTTCAAATTGTCCGAAATGAATCTAAGGCCTTCTTCAGATTTTTTAAAATTCTTTTTTCTGTTTGTTCTTCTATCTTAGTAGTGTTGAGAGATTTATCTTCTAGCTCACTAGTTCTGGCTTCTAACTCTTCAATTCTATTCCTCTGCTCTTTCAGTGTGTGGTCCATTTCTGATATTGTATTATTAATCCTTTGAACCTCTTTTGGTAGGCTTTGAATTGTTTCCAAATGTATCTTATTTGATTGTTCCTGTAGTGCTTTCCTGACTTCTTCCTTATTTTTCTCAAATCCATTGTATAGTGTTTTGATACATTTTATAATAATTTTTCTGAATTCCTTCTCAGGCATTTCCAAAGCCTGACCATATTCCAGTATGGAATGTAGGTCCACCTCCAGCTCATTTGCCTCTGTCACTTTATCTCGTTTCTGGACATGTGCGGATATGGTCATCTGTTTCTGTTTTTTGGGCATATTTCAGGATTTATCTGTGGCCTAATACTTAGATGGGTGTGTATTTTGGTATTTTTAAGGCTTTCTGATTGCCTCCAGGTAGATATGATCAGGAGAAATTTCAAGATGCCTCTGTTGGTTGTTATGATATAATTCAGGATTTAATTTTCAGTCTATTTCCTTTTTAGTCTGCCTGTCCTGCTCCACAACCTCCATTCAGGCCTTTTTCCTAATGATAAACAGTTCATGGCCAGCTGTGGCCATTTTGTGCTGTCATTTTTTTTTGTTGTTGTTGTTGTTTTTTAAGGTTTTTATTGTGGATTGAGTGAAAGTTTTCAGGGCACATCATCAGTTTCACATTCAAACATTCATATACCTTGTTTCATTACATTGATTATAATCCCCTCCACATACCAACAGTTAACAGTTTCTCTCTATCCTCTTTAGCTTTTTTGGGGGGGGAAAACTTTGCCTTTTTGGAATTTACACTCTTGGCTTTTAGGGAAGGTTTTTACATTTATCTGTGGGTATCCAGGGCTCATGTATGGAATTACTAACCAGCATAACTGAATAATCAGATAAGGGACATTTTGCTATGTCTGCTAGGTGGCTAAAGTCTGATCCTCAGAGCCTATGGTTTGGACGGTCAGCAACACTTGGGCCCACAGGGACTTGAACTCCTGATCAGGTCTGCACAGTCTGCATCAGATTCCCCCTTATTTATTATTTGTTTAAGAGACGCTGCCTGTCTTAGGCGGTCAGTATGAATTCCTCAGTCTTAACCCGTCATCGAAACTCATTGCAGCATGGTAATGGCTCTGTCTTAGGTTGCCGAGGTTCCATGTGATCCTTGCCCGTCTCTGGCCACACGTCCAGCATAAACAGCCACCATCCGAAGAAGGCAGGGAGAAAGGAGACCAGCTGGGGACCCCACACGCAGGATGTTGCCAGACCACCACCTGCTCTAAGACGACCAAGCAGGATCACTATGCTGAGGTTCAACCAAGTTCACAGGGCAACTTAATCTCTGACCGAGGTAGCAAATTAGTAGCCACTCAGTTCTCCACTTGAGAATTACTTATATCAGAAATTTGAGCATGTAGCTGATGAATATCCACAGACAAGTGTATATTGTTCCACAACCTCCTACAATGCTGTTGAATTAAGTTCCAATCAGGTTCTGGTTAACTGACAAAATAACACATATCTAGGTGGACAGGGCATGTCATTTGGTTTTAAGTGGAAACTGTCTCTTTAAATTTTGAGCAGATCTGTGCGCGTGCGTAGTAAAACCCTCTGGAAGTGGGGTTGGGGTGTCCACTCGCTTAGGCACCCCCTCTAGTCACCATAATGGAGGTGTGCAGGCAGTGAGAGACCAATGAACACATAAAAAAAAGAACGTCCACACCTTTATCTCTGTATTTCTGTCAGGTGTCCATGGCTGCTCTGATCCTTCCCCAGCTTGGTCTTGCCCAAGATGGCGGCTCCAGGAGTAGCTGAGCATCTTGTATTAGAAAGTACTGGATTTCTTGCTTTTGCTACAAATTCCCCTAGTTATAAACCTTTTCCTTTATATGTGGTTCAGAGTTCTGGGAACATCCCCTGAACCTGCTTGGTCTAGTATTCTGTGTTGTTGCTGATGGAGCTCCTTACTGCACTTCCACCCGATCCACCATCTTGTTAGTTCTCCAACATCCTTATCTTTCACCTGTACTGTTATTGTAGTCTTCTGTAGACCTCTGGGAGTCCTGGTGTGGTACTGTGGGTTAATGCACTGGACTTCAAAGTTGGTTTGAATGGCAAGGTCAGAGGGTCAAGCTCACCATCTGCTCCTTGGGAACCCTATACAGGGTTGCTATGGGTCAGAACTGACTCTATGGCACTTTAAAACAACAATGTAGACCTCTGGAGTCCTAGTATGGTGCTGTAGGATAAGCACTTAACCTCAAAGTTGATTTGAACAGCAAGGCTGATGGTTCAAACTCACTAGCCTTGGAAACCCTATACAGGATCGCTATGAGTCAGCACCGACTCAACAGCACTTAACAATAACAACATAAACCTGTACTTTATTGACAAGAGATTCCCCTGCTTAATACCTCCATTGTTTCCAGTTTGCCCCGAAAAGGCATGGGCTTTGAACTCTGCACATGAGACTTTCTACAACCTCTCTAACATCCTTGCTTTCTACTCTCCGACTTGCACCTTATATGCTAACAACACTGAACTACTACCAGTTCCCTGCACAACTGTCAGTAAGTATTGAATTGTATTCTCCAACAAGATATGTTGATGTCCTATATTCTGCCTGTACCTGTGAATGTGATCCTGTTTTGAAATAGCTTAAAACAATTTTTGGAGAAATTGAATGAAGATCATGAAATTTTCCATGAACTTTTAGAAGGCTTTTCATGAAGTCTTTTTTTTAAGTTTTTACTATGAATTGAGTGAAAGTTTACAGGGCAGATCATCAGTTTTACATTCAACAGATCATATACTTTGTTTCATTACAATGACTATAATCTCCACCATTTACCATCAGTTAACAGTGTTTCTCTCTATTCACATTAGCTCTTTAAAAAAACAAAACAAAAAACACTCAGCCATATATAATAATGTACACCACCAAAGGACACATTCTGCAAGTCTGCCTCTTGGCCACCAGCTCTCAGTCCCTTTCTTTCCATGAATCTAGAGTCCTCAGCTGCTCCCTCTCTCCATGTCCCTATCTCTGCCTCCATCTCTGGTGTCGCTGCTTCTCTGGAGAAGTTCCCACATTCCGCTTCTGCTCTTCTCCCTTGATGGACCTCATGTCCTTTGTTTCTGTACTGTAATAAGATTAAATTCTTCCCCCTTTATGTTACAAAACTTCTACCTTTACAATTGTGACAGTTGCAATTAGTCATGATAACAATAACTCACTATTGAATCATAAGAATCTTATCCCTATTTCTTTTTACCAGACCCATCTGGACAAGATGAAAACTATTCAGTGGGGACTCTATCTCCGCACCCCCACTCTTAAACTAAACTCTCTCTTGAAACCTTGTAAGCCAGTCACTTCCTGCCTTTATTGTCCCCTCATTTTAGGTAGCCTGTGTCTAAGTTGCCTGTCCCTATCTACCCTGTATACAGAGGGGATCACATTGACACTTGATATGAAGACTCCCTCCCTCTCTGTTGGTGTTTTGAACTACAACCTCCATGAGTATAGGTCAAGTACATCAAATTGTATCAATTTATCCTCATTTCCTTTATTAAAAATTGTTTTCTTTTTTATCTTCCTATAATCGAGTTCTGATTATCAAGCCATCGAGACTAGGTCAGATGGGTACTATCTACAAATTTGGGTGTTCTTGTGCATCTCCCCTCCCTTCTTATTAGCTGGATGCTTCACTCTCAGCTCTAGCCCTCTGTGGCTATGTCCTTGTCCATGGGTTCAGGTGTCCCTAGGTTCATAAAGTCTTTGAAGATGTCAACAGTTAGGTTAATATGAGGTCCTACTGTAATAGGGTAGGTACTAATTCTATATGACTGGTGTCCTTGTGAGAGCAGGAGAAGATGCAGAGAGATAGAGAAAGGACATCATGTTGCCCGATAGCTGCAAGCCAAGGAATGTTTACAGCCACTGTTGTTTTTAAGTATCACCAAGTCTCTTCCTACTCATAGCAACCCTGTATAGAGTTTCCTAGGAGCAGCTGGTGGGTTTTAACTGCTGATCTTGCAATTAGCAGTCCAGTGCTTTATCCTATAGCACCATATCAGGACTCCTTACAGCCACATGGTGGTGGTGGAGGAGTGCTGTGACATCAATTCCAACTCACAGGACCCTTTACAGGGTTTCCAAGGCTGCAAACATTTATAGGAACCGAAAGCCTCATCTTTTCCCCACAGAACAGCTGGTAGTTTTGAACTGCGGAGGTTGAGGTTAGAAGCCTGACTTGTAGAAAGCAGAAAAGAGGAATGGAATATATTTGACCTGGAGCCTCATAAGGAACCAAAATGGCCAATGCCCTGATCTTGGAATCCCAGCCTTCAAAACTTGGAGAGAATAAATTTCTGTTCTTAGAATGCACTGTCTCTCCCTGCAAGGTTCTTGGGTTTCACCTTTGCCAGCTAATACATTGCCTACAGAAAGCCTTTTCTGACCCTGCTTTCCCATCACTCTCTAGGTTTTGCTAGGCTGCTCTCCTTTCTTGATACATAAAAACAAACAAAACCAAAAGCATCTGTGTTTACAGTGATCATTCATGCTAATAATGGAAGCACATGTCAATACAATTGCCTCCACTGCTTATTAGATTAGTAAGAAAATCAAAGGTAGAGACTAGGTTCTATTCACCTCAATTTTCTCGGTACCTGACACTGTACCTGAAACACTGTCTTAGACACTCAGTAAATAAAATGAGCCGGCTATCACTTATGTTCAATTAAGTACAAATGAATTGTATAGCCAGTTAAAAGAAATGCTTACTTGTACTGGATGCTGGCTTGCTGTAGGAAGGTTAACAGTGCCCGGGAAGCATTTTGGGGGATATGGACGTCGGTAACTGTTCCCTCTGATATATAGGAGATACTGCTGGGCTGCCACAGGTCCACCTGTAGTGCAGGAACCAACCTATAATTCATATTCAATGTAGGTGGGGAAAAATCCATGTCACAATGTCAAACATGGTATCCTGTTTGCATACAGTAACACCAAACTGTCAATGCTTGCCTCGCCAGGGTAAAATTTCTTTTTGATCTTGAATTTGTGATTATAACTGCAAGTAATAGTTTAAAGACCAATACGTGAAAGGCAAGAGTTCAAAATGGGATAATTTAGTTTTAATCATAACACTGATATTGTTTTAAAATGATTTATTGTACAAATATTTGAATAACATTAAGAAAGAGAAAGATATAACTCACCTTTCATCCTCCCACATGAATACAGTGTTGTAGTTTGACAAAATTTGGTAATTTTAAATGGCACATTAACCATGTGTTTTCTTCTCCCCCAACACATGCCTTTTTCCAACTCCTAGCCAGTCTTTACATGTCATAAGAAACACCCTTTCTCAACTAGCTCAGATAATTTCCTGGTCATAGCTGTTAGTGGGCCTTAGCCTCTTTTACTATGTAACTTCCCCTTCCAGAATATAAGTTCCATGAGAACAAAGAATTTTTCCATTTTAGTAATCACTTTGCCTGACACTGGTTAGCAATGCAATCATTAATACAATCAAATTGACTGAGTAATTCACTTTATGTCCATTACATGTCCAGTATTTTACAGGAAATTAGGAGCCACACTTATTCAATTCACTGTGGTATCCCCAGGGCCTTGCCCAGTGTTTGCCATCTGGCAGGAGCCTCATGTTCGTTGAGAAGTGACTGGATTCAGATGGGAGGGAGGAGTGTCCTATCTTGTGCATGAGCCTAGAGCAACATTTTCAATTAGGCACAATCTGTTTTTATAGTTTTGTAGACTGTGTCTCTCTGTCTTCTCTTGTCTGCTTTGGGACTTTCTTTTTCCTACAGTTCTAGTCTTAGTCCTCTTGCAGAACCCTAAACATCTAATCAGCGTTTAATTACTTTATCTTCATGTGGGATGTCAATGTCTGCATTTTGCTAGGGAATTCTCTTGTTGTTGTTAAGTACCACTGAGTCAATTTCAACTCATAGCAATCCTGTATAGGGTTTCCAAGGAGAGGCTGGTGAGTTTCAACTACCGACCTTGCAGTTCAAACAGACCTTGCAGTCCAGCGCATTAACCCGCAGCACCACACCAGGATTCCAGAAGACCAAAAATACTTTATGACTCAAGGAAACAAACTTCTACTGGTACAAATTAATCGGCAAAAGTGTAGAGAGGCGTTTAATTTGGGTACAAAAAGTTTACCTACTTCTTTCAATAACCGGACTGATCCATTAACTCACAAGGGCAAATCTGACTCAGCTAACATACCAGGCCAGCAATTAGAAAAAAGCAAAAGTGTAGGGCTGGAAGGGACTCTGAAAGGTCATTTAACCCATCTGCCAGACCCTTGGGCAAGGTATATCTAGGACTGTACTAAACTGTCCCCAGTAGAGGAGTTTAAACCACATGTTTTAAGTTTCTAGAAGAGAAGAGCTGACACCATTCTAATTTAACTCAGATTCCCACTTAAACTTGTCAGACATTTTTCTTAAACTGTCACTGCAGCATAGTATAATGTTTCCTTGTTCTGCTTTTCAATGGGAAATGGCTAGTTTCTTGCCAGCCATCCAAACTCATCAGTCGCTCCTTGGAAACCCTATGCAGGGTTTGAACTGCTGACCTTACAATTCAAACTGACCTTTGCATGCAGTGTTTATCCTACAGTGCCACATTAGACTCCTGCATTGTCTTAGGAAAGTAAATTAAAATTAATAGACTGCTTTTCTCCAGTAGTATTTTGGAGAAAGAATGCTTAGATTGGTAGTATGTACCTTTCAGGCAAATGCCTACAAGGGTAAGTAAAAAAATATTGTTACTAGGGTTTCAGTTAATACATGCACAAGTTTATTTCAAACAAATTATGTTTAAACATGTTGCTATGATCAGTAGATGGATACAGGCAAGGTCTATCAGTAATATAACTATCTTACACTTGTTAGAGTATCTTCAAAAGAGAAAAAGGATACATTTTATGCCATGGACAAAGATGAGTTTGAGGTCAGAGTTCATATAAAAGTTTTAATAAAACTCAAGTAGACATCTTCCCAAATCATTGAAACTTTGCAACAAGTTCATGAGAATGCTGCCAAACAGAAAATAACAATTTTTAGATGGATCAAACATGTTAAGGAAGGTTGGGAAGGATCTCAAAGGTGAGCCAAGAAAGGGAACACTTGGCAGATGAAAAACTTCTGCTGAAGTCCAGAAACTGGTAAAAGAGGATGGCAGCATTACCAGTGATGTCATAGCTCCTGAAGTTGGGATCTCATATAGCTTATCAGTTTCAAATTTCATTGAATATCTTGGCCTCGGCAACTTTTTGGTTCAGTGGGTGCCAGCAGAGTTGCATGAAGATCAGCAAGCTCCAAGGCTGATTTTTCTATCAGTTTCTAACAAAAGACCAAAGCTAATAAATGAGTATGGACTAATCATAACTAGGGACTAGTCTTAGATTTACCAATATGATCCAGAGACCAAGGTCCAATTAAAACAATGACTTTCAAGGGTATTTGCTAGCTCAGTTAAATTCAATACAGAGAGGTCAGTTGGCTCAGAAGGTTTTCGTGACTATTTGCTAGGACTTCCAATGGTAATCTTTTTTTTTTTATTTTTAAAAATTTTTATTGTGAATGGAGTGAAGGTTTACAGAGCAGATCGTCAGTTTTAATTCAACAAACCATATACTCTATTTCATTTCAATGATTACAATCCTTCAATGTAACATCACTGATCCCACTTCCTCCCTGCGATTTTTGTTTCCCTTCCTCATTCTTTCCCAACCCTTCTGAATTTGGTATTTAGGTAAATGTTGCCCTTTTGACCTTGAATGGCTGACCATTCAATGGATGCATACCTCACTAGTGTTGATGTGCCCTTATACCAATCTCATGCTTGAATGAAAATTGAGTCATGAAGGGGAGTTCAGTTCCAGACCTGAAGGGTGACCAAGGGCCATAGTCTTGACTTCCACTAGTCCCTTTCTGACCAGTAAGGCTAGTCTTTTATAACTTTGAGTTTTGTTCCACATTTTCTCCGTAATCCTTTTCAGGACTGTTTGTAATGATAGCCAGACACCATCTAGTTCTTCTGGTCTCAGGGTTGTTGCGACTGATGTTCATATGTTCTGTTAGTCCCAATTGTTCCATTAGTCCCTAATTGTTCCCAAGCATCTTCAGATTTCATTACTTTTATTTCCTTTGCACAGAGAGAGACCAAGAGTTGGCCTTAGATGACTGTTCATGAGCTTTTAAAACCCCAGGCACTACTTACAAAAGTAGAATGTAGAACATTGTCTTTGTGGACTATGATATGCCAATTGATCATGGTACCCCCTGAGGCTATGGTCTTGAGCACCCAGGCTCAGTGACTCATTCCTTCAAGGTGTTTGGTAACAACTAAGAAGTTTTCCTGATTTTGTTTCCTGTATGCTCCACCACATTCATGGATATGTTTGCAGCAACGGTAAATGCTCATGCACAAATATCCTCTGTCAAAAGATTATATATTGTGGGTATACACTCTCCCTCTCACACCCATTCAGCCTGTGTCTCTATCCATGTATCTGCCTGCAGATCTCTGTTAATACAGGATTGTATATATAATAGTACTTATTTTTATCCCCTTTAACGTCTGCACTAATCCTCATGTTCTCCCTTGCCTCCATCATTCTTCTGCCAATCCCTCTCTTATTGTATATTGCCTTTCCTGTCACCCATGTTAACATACATCTACCCTCTAGGAGTCCTGGTATGGCCCTATGGGTTAATGTGCTGGACTGAAAAATCAGTTTGAACCACAAGGTTGGTGGTTCAAGCTCACCAACCACTCCTTGGAATCTTTATACAGGTTGCTATGGGTTGGAACCGACTCTATGGTACTTAACAACAACCCTCTAGCCAATGAATCATTTCCCATCCCTTCCCACTCCTGTACAATCAAAGGATTTTTTTTTTTAGCATGAAAACCTTTTCTTGACCTTATACAATAGTGGTCTCATACAATACTTGTCCTTTTGTGACTGACTAATTTCACTCAGGTTCATCTATGTTATAAAGGTGTTTTGCAGCTTCATCATTACTCTTCAATGTTGTGTAGTATTCCATTGTGTATATGTAACAAAGTTTGTTTATCCTTTCTTCATTAATGGGCATTTAGACTGTCTCCATCCTTTTGCGATTGAGAATAGTGCTGCAATGAACATGTATATTCATATATCTATTCGTGTCATGGCTCTTGTGTCTTGAGGATATACATATATGCATATATGTGTGTGTGTGTATACCAAATAGATTGCTGAGTCATATGAGATTTCTACTTCACAGGGGTAATCTTGTTATATTTTTTTCAAAGGACACAGGATGATCACAGGGGCTCACTAGGAAATTTTAAGAAAGTTGAAAACTGCACTGGTGAATAAAAGACCAGGAAAATTGATCTGAGTATTTTTTTTTCCCCATTACAACAAGGCACCAGCTCATTCTTTCAGGATAACAAGGACTATCTTAAGGGAATTTCACTATGAAACCTTATTCCATCCACCCTACAACCCTGATCTTGTCCCTTATGGCTTTTTTTCTGTTTCCCAAACTCAAAGAATATTGAAATGGAACACAATTTGAGTGCCTCAAGGATGCCAAAATTGTCCCTTTGATTTTGTGTAAATCAAAGAGTGCAGAATTCTTTGGAGGATGGGTTAGAAAAATGGTAACACTGCCTTCAGAAGTATATAGAACTAGATGGAGGATATGTCAAAAAAAAAAAAAACACACACACACAAAACAATAGCTTCTCAAACCTTTGCTTAACAAAGGTTTCTATGATTTTGTCGTAATACTTTTCCACTTATTTCTGTGTATAGTGTATGTGTATTTATGTATACAAAGATAAACACCATGTACTGATAAAATGATCCATTCAT